CACACACACACACACATGCACACAGACACACTACAATTAAACACCACTTTCCCCACCTCATATTTTCTATTTTGGGGTATGACAATTTACATCTTCTAATATTGCATATCTCACAACAAATTATTGTAGTGATTATTATTTTTAACAGTTTTGTCTTTTAACCTTTTTGCTAAAGATAATGCGATTTACACACCACCATTACAGTATTAGCTTATTCTGAATTTGACTGTGTACTTTTACTAGTAAGCTTAATACTTTCAGATGTTTTTGTGTTATATATTAGGATCCTTTTCTTTCAGCTTGAACTTCCTTAACATTTCTTGTAAGACAGGTCTGGTCATGATGAACTCCCTCAACTGTTGTTTGTCTGGAAGTCTTACCTCCCCTTCATTTCTGAAGAACAGCTTTTCTTGATACAGAATTCTTTGTTGGCAGGGTTTTTTTTCTTCTGACAATTTAAATATATCATCCTACTATCTCCTGGCCTTTAAGGTTTCTTCTGAGAAGTATGCAGCTAAGTGTATTGGAACTCTATTATATGTTATTTGCTTCTTTTCTTTTGCTGCTTTCAGGATTCTCTCTTTGTCTTTAATCTTTATTTACATTAAATATGATAAGATACCTTTGACCTTCTTATACTTGAATATTTGTATCTTTCTACCAGTTTGGAAAGTTTTCTGCTATTATTTCTTTAAATAATCTTTCTATCCCCTTTATTATCCTCTACTCCGTCTATTCCCAATAACACATATATTTGCTCTTTTGATGGTCTCCCTTAAGTCCTGTAAGTTTTTGTTTCTTTTCATTATTTTTTCTCTTTTACCTGTCTTCAAGTACACAGATTCTTTCTTCTGTTTCTTCAGATCTTCTGTTGATGCAGTTTTCTTCAGTTCTATATTACAGTTTTCATTTTGTTCATTGTGTTTTCTAGCTCCAAGATTTCTCTTTGATTTTTCAAAAATTAATTATTTTAATTTTTTAATTAAATTTATCATTCTAGTCAGTTTTCCTCATTGAATGGCTTCTCTCTCTCTCTGTGTGTGTGTGTGTGTGTGTGTGTGTGTGTGTGTGTGTGTGTGTGTGTATTAAGTTTCTCGAGCTTCCTTAAAACAGCTATTTTGGATACTTTATTAGACCATTCCTGTATTTCTTCTTTTGGGCCAGTTATTGGCTCCTTGTTTTGTCTTTTGATGACATCATGTTTCCCAGATTGCTCTTTGTCCTTGTGGTCATTCATCAATGCCTGCCCATTAAAGAAGTAGATACTTACTTCAGTCTTTCCAGTCTGGCTTTGTCTGGGAATGTCCTTCAATAGTAAGTCTACCCCGAGATTCTGGGCTGTTCATCTGGTATCATCTCTAAGCCCTTGACAATGGTAGCACTATAGGGTGCCCTATGCCCAGGACTACCATGGCTTGGCACAGTGCTGAGGCACAGCTGAAACCCATGGCCACTGAGGCTATCCTGTCACTGGAGTGTCCTTGAAGCAGGCAGTTGATGAGACCGACCTGTTAATGTGGGTTATTTGGAGGCCAAGGCCATTGTACTTGGCCTGTGGTGATGCAGTCTACAACTTGAGTCCATTTCACAGGGAATACTGGTTCCCATGTGGCACCAGGGTGGGTCTAGGATTCAGTCCATGCATACTGGCCTAGAGTCAGGGGCCATGGGGCTCTACCTATTGCTGGGTTTTATTGTGGTAGGCATGGCATTGGGGTCCCAGACAAAGTCCTATGCTTACTTACCTCTGTTCCCCCAGTGGATAGTATCACTCTCCATGCTGTGCTGCCTGGAGTTGGGGAAGGGGTAATGCAGGTAATGTAAAACTGTCCTTCCTACCTTTTTCATTGTATCTTATTATGCTATAGTCAGGTACTATAATCTGTCATCTGGTTTCATCAGCTCTTGTGAAGGTATTTTTATGTGTGGATAGTTCAAATTGATGTTTCTGCAGGGGGGCAATCACTGGAGAGTTCTTTTCCACCCTCTTGCTCTTTTCTCCTTCCATTTAGTAACTGAAAGCATTAGTCAGTTACTTAAGTGACATCATGAAAGAATTGTCAGAGTTTCAGTGTTCTCATCTTGTAAACTGGGAATATCATCTACCTAAAATTCAGTTGTAAGCCTCAAATAGAAGTAAATAAAGAGTAGTACCTGCTAAATAATAGGCATAGCATAAATAGTAACTGTTTTTATTGTATATTGTTGCATTAGTAATAGTATCTTTAAGTTTCTTAAAAAGTATAACTATACACTTCTAATATATGTATAGTTATTTCTAAATTATATGCAACTTCTGTTGTGAGTCAATATGTTTAATAAAATAAAATCTCTTAATTTTTAGATAAAATCACATTTTTTTCTTTATACTTTGCAAACTCCCATACATACATTAACCACCCTCCGGAGACCATTGCCATAGAGTACAGAACAAGTACCTACTGGGGAACTTCACAAAGTAACAGGTTTTGGCACAAGAAAAGAAGAAAAAGCTTCAGTTTTTGAGCCCACAAGTGATTTGATAATAACCTTGCTTTAGAAATATTAATATCACATTAAGTTGCAGGATGGATTGGCAGAGAAAAGTCTAAAATTTGAAAAGAAGGTAGTCTGGTGTTTACTATTTTAGTTACTAGTGTTATCAGTCACTCTTTGAGTCTATTTTTATTCTTTCCTGTTCCTCATCCCATTATTAAATTAATTTCAAGTCCTGTTAATTCTTCCTCCTTAATTTTTTTTATCTGTCATGTGTTCCAGCCTCACTGTTGGGTTATCTATTTAATTACATTAACATTCTTCTAACTTTTCCCAATTCACATCCCAGTGGAAATTTCTGAGTAGTTCCCCAGTATTTTCAGGTTATTAAAACTGAATGCCTTTGTCTTCTGAGTACAAGACTTTCCTAAGCAGTGCCTTCTAGATTACTAGCTTTATGTCTTACTACTTTCCCATTTTTTTCACTGAATTTGGACTACTTCGCAGTCTTTACATATACCATGCTCTCTCATCCTTTCATTCTGCTGCACAGACTGTTACCTTTGCTTTAGCATACCCTTCTTCTTCTTCCTGTTCTAGTGGCTTCTCAGCTCTCAAGACTCTTCTCTCTTTAATTCCTCCAGTCTAGCTTAGATGCTCCAAGAATATCCTGTGCTGTCTTGTATTTTAATGTATTATGATGATCACTTCATGGAATTAAAGTCATTCACAAAAATACGGCACAGTGGTTTTTGATTGATGTAGTCTAAGTTCAGTTATTCATTAGCCAAGAGACCTTGATCAAATTATTTAGCTTTTCTAAGTGTTTTCTTTTTGTGCAGTAATGCCTACCTCATTATATTTATATTGTGCTGAGGATATGGAGTAACACTTGCACAACACTTAGCACATTATCTGATACAGCAAATGTTGACTTCAGTAAATGCTATGTGTCAGTATTACTAATTACTATGCTGATACTTGTTTGACAGTAAAATGAGCTGCCTTGTGATGTAGTCTCTGCATCAACCTAGGTATTCACTTAGTGACTAGATATATATATTTCCTGGGGCAACAAAAGTTTCACATGTTAATATAAGGGAATCGGATTTGCCATCATCCTATTTCAAGTCTACAACATTTTCTTCCCCTATCAAAATCTTTTCAAAGCCTGCCTTAAATACCACCTTTAAGATATCATATCCTAAAGTAGCCTCTTCCTCAATACTTTCATAACAATGTTTAACACACCACTTATTACATACCACTTTTTATGACTAGCATTTATGTTCATAAAATGGGGTTTTTAGATCACCTAGCACAGTGTGTGACATAGTAAGCACTTAGTAAATGGCACAACCCTCCCTTCCTTAATCTGTTATTTGAACTTCATTCCATAGACATTGGAAAGATTTTGATGGTTTTTGAGCCCACAAATGATTTGATCACAGTGTTGCTTTAGAAATATTAATGTGACATTAAGTTGCAGGATGGATTGGAGGAGGAAACGCTAAGGACAAGACAAAAGCTAATTCACTGGTTCAGTATTCACACCTTATTCAACACTTTCCAGTTCGTATTTGGAAAGGAATGTGGTATAGCAGAAAGAACATAGATTTTCTAGCTAGGTGTCCTCATAAACAAATGTGAATGAGGCCATCACAGTCTAGCAGTTTATACTTTTTCCAGGATGACCGGTGAAATACTAGTTGAAAGTGTTTTGTATTTTTTCTTTGTCACCCCACCCCCATGTCATTGTGCAATTTGTTGCACATGTAGGATCAAAAGACACAAATGAGGGAATGTTATACTTTTAAACATGTATAGGAATTAATCTAGGAATTTACTGATACCTTTGTGTTCCAGGTACAGTCATATGGATTATTTCATTTGCTTTTTTACAATAAATAATTTCTATGAGTAAATGATGTTATTTCCATTTAACAGATAAGAAGAATGAAACAAAGTGGTTAAATCATTATTCATAAGGGACAAAAAAAAAGATGAGTGTTTAAGACCCAAGTCTGCTGAATAGAAGATTAATATTTAACCCACAATACTGCTGCTGCCACGAGGTAGCTAAATGCATGTACCCACTTCTGGCACAAGTTAGCCTAAAGGGAAAGTAAGCCAAGTATATTATCCATAGATTATTGGCATATATCCATTTTGACTTCAGTGTTTTTATTTGTGTGTGTGTGTGTGTGTGTGTGTGTGTGTGTGTATAAGCATAAACATGTTTATATGCACGCGTGCGCGCACACACACACACACACACATACTCCCATCTAACCTTTAGGAAAAAAAAATCACTTTTTTTTTTAGAGACGGAGTCTCTCTCTATTGCCTAGGCTGGAGTACAGTGGCATGATCTCGGCTCACTGCAACCTCCGCCTCCCAAGTTCAAGTGATTCTTCTGCCTCAGCTTCCCAAGTAGCTGGGACTAGAGGCACCCACCACTACTCCCAGCTAAGTTTTTTTGTATTTTTAGTAAAGACGGGGTTTCACCATATTGGCCAGGCTGGTCTTGAACTCCTGACCTTGTGATCCGCCTTCCTTGGCCTTCCAAAGTGCTGGCCTCACAGGCATGAGCCACCATGCACAACCGACAAATCACTATTTAAACTTCAGAATTAGCCTTGACAACAGTTGATTTTGTTGATATGCATGATCATGATTATGATTCCCATATGATTAGTTACTGGTTTTATACTTACCCCAAGCTTATCAAAATTATCATCAGGAAGTAAACCCATCAACTTATTTAGCCCAAAGCTTCTCAAACTTGCATGAGCATACAGATTACCTAGGGATCTTGTTAAAATGAAGATTATTTTTGGTAGGATTGAGGTTGGGGCCTGGGAGTCTGCATATCTAACTGCTTTGGGTGATGCTTACGCTGCTGAGCTTGCACACTACACCTTTGGAGTATAAGCACAGAATTTTAATTTTTGTCCCAAATACATAATAATTTATATAAAGTTAAAACTATAGTGTACAAACTATTTGTGGTCTGTGCTTTTTTACACTTAGCCTTTTTCCCTGTTTTCTGCATAATTTTTATAATTATGATTTATATAAACCATAAAGGTAATATGACATCTAGGAATATACATCTATTCTCAGTTATTTTCCCATTCTAAATAACGCTGGATTTATTTCCTCTGGGCATATAGCTTTTGCTATTTAATTATCTCCTTAAGATAAATTCCCAGAGCAATTACCAGGTCAATGGGTAAGAATATCTTTGCTGTTTAATGGGTAAAGTTTTGCAAGATGAAAAGAGCTCTAGAGATGGATAGTGATGAGAGTTGCACAACAACATGAATGTACTTAATACCAATGAGTACCATTCAAAATGGTTATGATGGAAAATTTCATGTTATGTGTATTTTACCACAATGAAAAAATTTTTAACTATAAAGAGAAGGGAGGAGCCCCGCCCCCTTGCAGAGACCACACAGTGGGCAGAGTCAGGCGCCGCCAGGTTAGCAACCGGAAGTCAGAAGTCCGGAGCAGCGCAAGAGCATCTGTTACCCTCTCTTCTCAGATACCCACCAGAAGTGTTGGAAGAGAGCAAGCAGATTTGAACCTATCTGCTTTCAAGCTGGTCATCATGATGAAACTTAGAAACAAAAGTGAAAAGCCAGGTAAAGGTTCCAAAGGTGGTAAGAAGCCCGCAAAACAAAATGGGAAGAAAGCAACCTCCAAAGTGCCCTCTGCTCCTCAGTTTGTTCACTCCAACGATCATGCCAATCTAGAGGGTGAACTGAAGGAGAGGGTTGAGGAAATGAGGGAGAAGCAGCAAGCTGCCTGGGAGCAAGAAAGAAAGAACACAGGTCTATCAAGAGCTACTGTGAGAATATTCTAAGACGCCAGGAGGAGCTTAAGGGGGAAGTTTTGTAGGAATTAAGTACGTTTCCTCAGCTGGGTGACGAGATCAGAAGGAAGGCCTATTACAAGGAGTCCCGTAGGTGGTAGAATATTCATGTGATTCTGGAAGTCCTGGATGCCAGAGACCTATTAGGCTGCTGCTGCCTCCAAATGGAGGCTGCCTTCCTATGGGCAGAAGGCAGCAAGAAGCTGGTCCTGGTCTTGACCTGGTCCCCAAGGAAGTTGTGAAGTAGCTGGATTACCTTCAGAATGAGTTGCCAACAATGGCTTTCAAGGCTGGGATCCAGCATCAGGTCAGCTTTGGAGCTAAAAACCTCATGAGCGTTCCAGGAAACTATCGCCACCTTGGTGAAGTGCGCACTGACATCCAAATGGGCATTGTGGGCCTTCTCAGTGTTTGGAAGAGCAGCCTGATTAATAGCCTGAAGTGCAGCCATGCATGCAGTGTGGGAGCCATTCCTGGGGTCATGAAATTCACAAAGGAGGTCTACCTGGACAAGTTCATCCTGCTGCTGGATGCTCCAGGCATTGTCCCAGGACCCAACTCAGAGGTGGGCACCATCCTGCATAACTGCATCCATGTGCAGAAGCTGGCAGACCCATGACCCTGGTGGAGATGAACCTGCAGCACTGCAACCTGGAGTGGATTTCCAACTATTACCGCCTCTCTAAGTTCCAGACCACTGAGCACTTTCTGACAACAGTCGCCCACCATTTGGGAGAGAAGAAGAGAGGCTTATACAGTCAGGAGCAGGAAGCCAAAGCAGTCCTAGCTGACTGGGTGAACAGGAAGATCAGCTTCTATAGACCACCACCACCCACTCACACTCTTCCCGCCCATCTCAGCACTGAGATCTTTAAGGAAATGACCGAGGTCTTTGACATTGCGAACACCAAGCAGGCCAATGAAGACACCATGGAATGCTTGTCCATTGGAGAATCTGATGAGCTGTTGAGTGACACAGACCCATTGGAAATGGAGATCAAATCGCTCCATTCTCTGATGATGAAAATAGCAGATGCCATTGAAAATAAGGAGATTTCACTGGGTATTGCACCAATCCAAATCATCATCAGATGGTGTGGGCCAAACTCAATGTAGACACCACACTAAAAACAACCGTAAAGTGATGTCTGCCCAATGGACTGCTGCCCAGTACTGCAGGGGATCATGGAGATAGACCCTCTGCAACACAGCCAGGCTCTGGCATCCTCCCTGAAGAATAAGAAGATGATGCAGCAACGGGCAGATAAAATCACCAGGGAGCTGTCTGATTCCCTGATGTCTGCCCTTGACCTCTCTGGCAATGCTGATGATAGTGTTGGTGACTAATTGACTGATCTCACTTCCCTTCTTCTCCAAGCACCAGTTCCAGTGGGATGGGGCATGACCAGTGAAATAGTTTGGTTCTCCCTGAAGCATCTGCATATTAAAAGAATCCTTCCCCAACTATGTGTCTTTTCTACTCTCTGCAGTAAAAAGAGCCCCAAGAAGCTGGACCTGAAAAACCCAATACCCTTTATTTAACCCCTACTCTGTTTTATAACAGAAATAAAAGAAGCATCAGCAGGAAAAAAAAGAGAGAGAGAGAGAGAATATACCCCCCCCAAAAAATATTACCACCAAAAAATATTATTTTCAAAAGAATTATATTGTTTTTTGGGGGGAGGGTAATGATATTTTTTTCAATCCTTTTGAAAATATCAAATTTTCAATTTTTTCAATTTTCAGTCCTATTTTCAATCCTTTTGAAAAAGAAATACCAGTCTTTTCAAAAGCATGATATTGTTTTTTGCTGGTATTCTCCCTAAAAAAATTTTGTGGGGGGAATTCTTTTGAAAAGAATGTTTTTGGGGAAATATTGTATACCCCCCCAAAAGTATTATTCTTTTGAAAAGAATGGTTGCAGCAATAAACGATTTGCCCTTTTAGAAAGAATTACCAAATTACACTCCCACCAACATATTTGCCAGTATTTAATATCTTATTTTTTTTAATTTTTTGCTCAATGGTCTAGAATGATTCTTCAAGGTTGCAGTCTGTATTTTACTTCTGTTAGTTTGAAAAGTAAACATTTACCCTTGTGGTTTTTTACCATTTTTATTTCCTCTTATGTTAAATGTACATTCATGTCATTGGCCCTTGTTCTGTCAATGTTGAACATTTTCCTTAAATTTCAAAGAGTCCTTTTTATAGCATAATATTTTTTAAGTATTTCTACTAGTCTTTGTTGTCTTTTAAATTCAGATTTAAGAGATGAGTAACTTTATTATTTTAATCCTACAGGTGAACTATGGAAAAGTTTGTAATAACAGTAAAAAAGGATTGAAATTCACTGTCTCCTGTGGCTGCAGTTCAGAATTTGTTTTTGTACCATATGGTAGCACCATTGCTGTTTATACAGTTTACTCAGGAGAACGGATAACTATGCTTAAGGGACATTATAAAAGTGTAGACTGCTGTGTATTTCAGTCAAATTTCCAGGTAAGAATGATACAGGAATTTAAAATGTGCAGCTAGCTAGATTGCCAGACCAGTTATATGTAAAAGAATAAATTGTGATTTCATTCTAAGGAGTTATGCTTTTAATTCACATTTGAACTAGGATTTATTTAATAGAGACTAGCATAGCCTAGATTTTTAGATGGCATATAATATATGGATGAATCAGTATAACACTGTGCAACTTGATTGGCATAAATTCTCTTTCTTTTGCATATAACCTTCATTTATTTAGCAATTGAAAATCTCTGGGAATTAAAATAATTTCTTGCAAACAAACTTTTGGGTAAGAAATGAAATATAGGCATTTAATCATAAAATAGAATTTGTATATGTTGGTTCATGTATGTGTGGATGATCTATTCTTCCTTATTTTCTATCAATGGCTAATAAAGGGAGGTTTTGAAGTTAATACAACCTATATAATTTCTTAAATACCCTGGCTTTTGTTTGTTTGTTTTACATGCAGACCTTTTCACATCACCAATGGAGCAGATTGTTTTTTTTCAGAGAACACTGGCACAAATTAACTCATGCACTCCTTTAAATGAGTCTAACATTGCAAAATAGTTGGTATTTTCCCTGTTTTTTAGGTAAGGAAAATAAAACTCATGTAAGTTAAATACTGATAGAACAAAAACTATGGATTATTAGAGCTCAAGGAGACTATCACTTTGTGAATCTCCTATTCATTCATTCATTAATACTCATTGGCTAATTTGTGCCTGACACTGTGCTATAAGATATATAGACCTGATTTTTCAGCCAGTACATACCATTATGGCAATATTCAATATTTAAATATTTAAATACTTATATATCCTACTGGCTGGTAAACAGCTGATACACCAAGCCCCCCAAGTGACCTCCAGCCTCAGCCCCTTCCCTGGGACCTCTTAGACCTCACCTTACCCCAGCAACTAAAAGAGGACCTACAAAACCCTACTTCAACTCTATAGCCAGTATCTCTTCTTATTAGTCATTGTCCTAGTATACCAGTTGTTAAACATATTTAGTGTTCTGGGAGAAGAAAACTAAAGCACCAGAGAGGTGACATGACTTGCCCCTAACTTACAAGTAGTTATTGATAAGCCATGTATTGATATTCAAAGAAATTCTTAAAATATTGTCCCTCTTTTCTTGCCCAAAATTACTTAGAGACACAGCCAAGATTTCATCCCAGGCACTCTGACAACAAATTATTTCTTTCTACCAAACTGGAGCTTCCTAATAGATGTGCCTTGAATGGAATAAAACCGTGCCAATGGCTGGGCACAATGGTTCACATCTGTAATCCCAGCACTTTGGGAGGCCAAAAGGATCACTTGAGACCAGGAGTTCCAGACCAGCCCAGGAGACACAATGAGACCCCATATTTACAAAAAATCAAAAAATTAGCCAGGTGTGGTGCTGTATGCCTGTGGCTCCAGCTATGCAGAAGGTTGAAGCAAGAGGATCACTGGAGCCCAGTAGATTGAGTGAGCTGTGTTCACACCACTGCACTTCAACATGGGCAACAGAATGAGACCTTGTCTCCAAGGGGGAAAAATATTAGATAAGATACACCCAACATCAAAATAAATAAAGATAGTAATGGATTATAACGTATTGACTAAAATAGAAATTCATGAATCTAGGGTGGTATAAGTAAATAAATTAATGAATTAAAAATTTGATGAGCAATGAGATATTTACATAATCTCAATGTATCTCCTACAAAATATGAAGTACAAAGGTAAAAATATTAATTTTACCCTGAAGAAGCCTGACACACATCACCTTCATAAAATAATCTAAATTAGCATCTCAGTTATGGGACATCACGTCTGTGATATTCCTGGCCAAATTGGATCACCCAAATTTAATCACAAGGAAACACAAGACAAGCCAAATGTGAAGGACATTCTGCAAAGTAACTGGTATATAGCTCCAAAATTGTCAAGGTCAGAAAAGACAAAGAAACTGAAGAACTGTTTCAGCTTGAAAACTAAAGAGACTTGACAACTAAGTGTGGCATGTGATTTTTAACTGTTCCCTTTGCTATAAAGCACAGTATTGGAACAAATGATGAAACGTGAATGGGGTCTAAGAATTAGATGGTGGTAATAATATGAATTTTCTGATTTGGTTGGTTACTTTGTAACTATAAAGGAAAGTACCTTGTTCACAGGAAAATTACACTGAATTATTTAAGAGTAATAAGGCCTTATGTTGGCAACTTACCCTCATGATTTAGGGGAAAAAATATTTAACTATTAAATATTGAGTTTTTTTTCATTTTTTACTGCACTTGTAACTTACATTTTGAGACTATTTTTTAGGAAAATCTAATTGCCCAAATGAACTCCTGAATCTATCACAGACATTTCAAGGCTTAATGTAAATCCTCACATCTAAGTGTTATAAGTCATTCTAATTTCAGTATCTCTTTCTTGAATATCTACAGAATATCCTTCATGGCTTCACTGGGTGTGATAGTACTTATTGTGAATTGCCCTATAAGCTTATCTGACCAAGTTATCTTGGGCATTACTTGGCCTTCTCAAAGAAATAAAATTACTCAAGGGCACTGAACATACATATCTTTGTATCAGCCACAGTTAGTGTAACCATATAGTCTAGATTTTATAATACAGTCAATAAAATTGTGTTATATTTAGGAAATTTGCTAATGTATATCTAACAATTTTTTAAATTTTAAAAATTTTCTATAAATAACTATATAATCTTATTTTCCCTTTTCTCACATCCTTACTTAAATAAAAAACACAATTATACCATGCCTTATATTGTTTTTGAGATATGCAGTAATACAAATAAATTGTATAAAACAGCAGAGGAAAAAAAGCCAATATAACATATTCCTTCAGTTTTGTTGGGGAGGGGAGTGAGCATTGTTCAGCTATATGCAAACAGCATATCCACAGACACTGACATAGTCTGTGCATCAGCTCAAGCTTCCCTTTATGAAGTAAACTTCTCAACAGGCATGGGATATATGTCTTCAAGCTCTTCTGTTGAATTGCAGCCAGTTAGGCAGCTGTGAGCTAAATAAAATTTTTTGTGAACTTGGCCTATTTTAGTAGAAGCTCATATGGTGTCTTCACTGAAGTCTTTATTGACGCTCAGTTTCTGAAAACAGACAAACTATTTTTTTCTTTCTCTGATATTAGAAATATATGGATACTATAATTGATAAAACTGCTAAGATTTGGGGTATATTTGTAAAATTTCACACCATTAGTAAGCTCTGACAAATCCTATTTTTAAATACAAACAAAGCTTTACTAAGAAAGAAAGAAAAAAGCATCAGCCTAGTTTCTTTAAGGAGTAGAAATAGCATTAATGTAAGTCCTGTGACCTAATTGTTTCAAAAATGATATAATTATTTGTTTGGTATCAGCTTTTGATCCACAGTATCATCTTTGCTTTCTGTGTTATAGGAACTTTATAGTGGCAGCAGAGACTGCAACATTCTGGCATGGGTTCCATCCTTATATGAACCAGTTCCTGATGATGATGAGGTAAACATTATTTTCACAAATTGTACAGTGACTTCTAAATCATCAGAAATAATGTTTTGTTACTTTACTTTATATAAGAGAGACTTTTAAAGCATTTCTTGCCAGTGGCCTGCACCTATAATCACAGGTACTTGGGAGACTGAGGCAAGATGATCACTTGAGACAAGAAATCAAGACCAGCCTGGGCAACGTAGTGAGACCCCATCTCTAAACAACAACAACAACAACAACAAAAAAGTATTTCTTGGTATTTTCAGATTGTAAAAATAATTGGACTGTTTTAATACATTTGGAAAATTCAGAAAAATAGCAAAAGAAGAACATAAAATTCCTCAAATTGGTCAATATTAACATTTTGATTTGTTTCATAACTGTTTTTTTCCTTTGCATATGTTTTTTAACATAGTTCATATCATGGTTGGACATTCAACTTGCTATCTTTTCTGATCAACATTGTACAATTAGCCTTTTTTTGTGTCATTAACAACTGTGTGTAAACATTTCTAATGATATAGTATTCTGTCATTGATAAAACACAATTTAAATACCTAGCTGGAGACATTTCTGTTGATTATTATAAACATCAAGGTAAATATCTGTTCAAAAATTGTTGATATTTTTTATTATCAACTTTAGATAGATTCCTAGAAGTGGAATTATCTCTTGAATTACTATGTATGACTTTTTTATTTTATTTTATTTTATTTTATTTTTTTGAGATTGAGTCTCACACTGTCGCCCAGGCTGGAGTGCAATGGTGCAATCTCTGCTCACTGCAACTTCTGCCTCCTGGATTCAAACAATTCTCCTGCCCCAGCCTCCCAAGTAGCTGGGATTACAGGTGACCACCACCACACCTGGCTAATTTTTGTATTTTCAATTGAGATGGGGTTTAACCATGTTGGCCAGGCTGGTCATGAACTCTTCACCTCAAGTGACCCACTTGCCTTGGCTTCCTAAGGTGCTCGGATTACATTCATGAGCCACCATGCCCAGCTGACATTTTCAAGACTTTATTCTCGTGTCAAATTTTACCAGTCTAGGCAGCAGTCTGACAGTGCCCATCATAGAACATAAATATAAACATGAGAGTGTAAATAAAGTCCTTAAAAATGCAGTAGATAAACAAAGATGAATAAGACCATTCTCCCTGGCCCAAAGTAATAGCCTCTGTATATTTTTTTTTCCACTTTTACATCAAGCAGTAGGAAGATATAGGCTGTTTAAAGGTGGTTTCTCTCCCACCAAGGTTTATTCTCCTAAGCACTGTTAATCATCTTCATTTATCTAAATTTCTACAATATAAAAAGTCTAAAAGCAATGTCTAAAAACGATGTATATACATATATTTGTGTGTGTGTGTGTGTATATATATATATATAATTAAGTTGGAAATATAAATAATGTAGTTAGAAACACCTTAAGGTAATCTTAAGTCATAGTAAAAGTATCTTAAATGGAGGTTGAGGAAAAGTTATGATAGAGTATGTTTGACAGTCAAAAAACATTTTTCATATACTGTTTAGTTCCTTTATGAAAATAGGACTATGTCGAAAACCACATAAAATATGATTTGTATAGAGGTAGTTGATAGCCTCTCACAGCTATTGATAAAATATATTTCATACCTAAATTGTCAACTGCTAGAGTTTCCTGCAGTGTAAAACCTGTGAATTATTTTCTTTTGTCTTTAATTCAAATAAAGAGAAAAAAATACACCAATAAATCTTCAAGTAGCCAGCTAATGCCATAGGCATACTTCTAGATTGTATCACATGTCTAATTTGGTTTATTGTGGCTTGATTAACTTTAGCATACAGCTGCTTTTGATATCAGAATATTCTTCTGTATAAAGCTTAATATGATCAAATAATTGGATTGAGCTATTTATTTTACATTTTATTATGTAATTATTGTATCCTGCTCTTTGGGAATTGCTATATACATTAAATCCAAGTTATAACATTGTAAGCCATGTTAGGAAGTATAGCATTTTATTTACCAAATGAAAACAGTAAAAAATAAGTGAAAAGTATATCTGTAGTGACTTATGTATTGAAAAGGATGTTAGAAGAATACCACATTTTTTAATTCATAAAGATAATATTTGGCCAGGTGTGGTGGCTCACACTCGTAATCTCAGCACTTTGAGAGACTGAGGTGGGAGAACTACTTAAGTCCAGGAGTTTGAGACCAGCCTGGGCAACATAGAAGACCCCATCTGTACAAAAAATAAACAAAATTATCCAGATTTGGTAGCTTACACCTATAGTTTCAGCTACTTAGGAGGCTGAAGTGGGAGGATCACTTGAGCCCAAGAGTTCAAGGCTCCAGTGAGCCCCGATTGCATCACTGTACTCCAGCCTACCTGACAGAGTGAGAAAAAGATTTTTTTCTACTCAAAGAAAAAAAAAGATAATATGTGACTGATGGTTTATTTCCTTGTTGTGTCATTACAGTGATAGTTTGAACTCTTTGTGTAAAATAACTTTTGTCTATGAGAAATTAAGTAAAACAAGTTAGAAAATCACAGAAATACGCAAAAATCAAGTTGACTTTTGTATTTGCTTTAGAGCTATAAAATCTTACCTTTTAAAATGCCATGTTCAGATATTTTAAGATAGCAGTTATTCTCATATTAACATAAAATGATATGTGTTAAGGTTATTTCCATAAAATTTTAACTTGAAAGATTCCTGTGAATATAAGTAGAACATGAATGTGATCGTAATACAGATCCCAATAGAACAGCCTGTCCAGAAGATCCTGTTCCTTACATGTGTGTTTATAATTTAAGCCATATTGAAAAGTGCTTTTATCCCAATTATAAATTAAGTATATTTATTTAATATTTTTTTTCCAAGGAGGCAGTTTAGCATACTACAAAACAAAAAGCACACACACATATATATACACACGTACTTAGTGTTTAGCTTCAGGTAAACTGGGTTTAAATCCCAGTTCTGTTACTCATTATACTTACGATCTGGGACAAGCTTATGATATTTCCAAATATCAGAATTGTCTAATCAAAGTTATTCTTAGGTTTCCTTTCAAATACGTCCTTCAGATGAGAGTTACCTCCCCATCAGCCAAAATATAATCCCTTAGGGGGTGTTTCTCCTGATATCCAAAGTAGAAGATCAATTTAATTCTGTCTAAGGAAAGGAAAGACACTGGATGAGAGGGACAGGATTTATGGTCTTTAAGTATAAATCCCATTATTTAATTGACAGACTGTTTTATTATATTTTGAGGAATATGGCTTCCTTTTGACTCTACTTTCTAAAAGCTGTTCTGGTCAAGACAAGTCTATCTATAACTCCTAATCACTTTTTTCCTGCCTGCAATCTATAAGGCAGGTTTATTCCAGTTTAAACCTGACCTCTCACTAAGAATCTTACTTTGTTTTGACATTCACACAATACATAATTGTTTTACATACCACTTGTACCCATATATAATCACTTGCTGACAACTCTGAGACTTGCCACTATTTACCAGTCAGAAATTTGAAAGTTATCAAGAAATATCCTTGTAGATGTTAAATCTGGTTTTATTCCTTCTCTAAATTCATAACTAGTTCCCGTCTAAACTCTTTATTTCTATAACATTCACACTATCTGTCAGTAGAACTGACAACCTTGTGAGATAGAGGTATTATGTTCAAGCACAGACTGGATGTCCACTAGGAGGAGATGTTGTAGAGAAAACTGAAGTAATAGGTAATAGTAGCGACACTTGATCAGAGGATTAGGAAGTGTGGCTTGTCCACCCAGGGACGTACGTGTGTGTGTGTGTGTGTGTGTGTGTGTGTGTGTGTGTGTGTGTTTTCCCAGGGCTATTTTTAGTAGCTATTAAAGTCAAAGTTAGAGGGCTCTAGACACAGAGAGTAGGGAGGAGGACTCATCTAACTACCAATGACAAGATGTCTTTTAATAAATTCTCAGTAAATAACCAAATTTAGTAGTTAAATTGAAAACCCAGAAAGACAGGAAATTCAGTAAATGTTTGGGTGAAAGAATAAATGAACAGACTTCAGTATACTACCATTGCAAATAAGTGGACTGTGGCTAGAAATCAGTGAGTAGTTAGCTGAGGTTTAGTAATAGTTTTATGACTGGGCACGGTGGCTCCTGCCTATAATCCCAGCACTTTGGGAGGTCAAGGCAGGCAGATCTCAAGGTCAGGAGTTCGAGACCAACCTGGCCAATATGGTGAAAACCTCTCTACTAAAAATACAAAAAATAGCCAGGTATGGTGACACGTGCCTGTAGTCCCAGCTACTGGGGAAGCTGAGGGAGAAGAATCGCTTGAACCTGGGAGGTGGAGGTTGCAGTGAGCCGAGATCATGCCATTGCACTCCAGCCTGGGCGACAGAGCAAGACTTCATCTCAAAAAAAAAAACATAATAATAATAATAGTTTTGTATCTGGACATTTGAAGTATAATAGAATTTTGGTTGTATACCTAAGTGAAAATAGCCGACATTAGATTTAATAATGTACTCTAATCTGTAACAATAAAGAATGCCTAAATTAACATATTGTTTTCCAACTATTCTAGCTGATACTTGGGAAATTTACTGGAAACACTTAACTTTTTCTATTGTTTTCATTGTAAGATTCAAAGTTATCATATTCATCAAAAGGAAAATGAACATTCTCAGACATGCGGTAGGGGTTACCCTTAAAAAATATTTCTGTAAGTTGTAAAAGGCAATACACCTAAAATAACTTAAGGGTAGTCTTGATGCTAATACAGCACTGGAATTTGAATCTGAATAAAATCGTAGCAGTTGTAAAAGTTGCACAAAAGGAAGCAAACCTGGCTCATAATACCCAATTACTTTAAAAATGAGACCATCTTAAAGCCCTAAGTTATTTGCCAGAGAATCAGAAGGTAGCTATTCAGAAGTTTTCCCAAAAATGAACTGATTTGAAATGCCACCGATTATTAAAATTTCTCTAATTGCTAATCACCTTTATTTTAGGTATGGCTGTAAATCTGTAAGAATACTGTGATGCTTTGTTGTTGTTTTAAATAAACATAATCTAGATACACGTTATCCTTCAGAGAAATCTCTAAGGAAAACCTGTGTGCTAATTATAAACATGTTACCATTTTTGACATATTTTGCATGTTTTACTAAACTGCCCTATCAACCTATAAAAATAAGTAAATAAATATTAGTACTTAAAAAGTACATAAATATATTAATAACCCACATTATTTTTTTGACTAAAAATGGTATTATTGAACTTGATGAATACTTTATTCTCCATATTTGGCTATTTGTTTATTTATAAAAGAAGTTATTTTCATCCAAACAATAAAGAGTTGCCAACATTGATATTTTGAGCTGTCAGGTCAGACTATACACCTGGAGTCCAGTCTTAGCCCATGGATGTCAGAGTGCTACTTTCTCCAGGTAATTCCAAAGAGTTGTTGAGAAATACCTTGAGCAATAGCAGCATCATGGTGTATATATATATAAATATGTATTTGTGAGGTGATTACTTTAAAGGAAATAGAGTGTTTAGATAAAGTCTGGTATTGTCTGTTTAAAATGGAGTTGTATTATCTTATATTGTATGTTCTGAAATTAACAGTTATACATTTATACATTTTCTTCCAAAATAATGTAATTGCTATTTATCTGATATATTTCATAACTTTATTATGAGCCTAAAATTATGAAGTAGAAAAAAACAATTTTCCATTTTCTTTATTTTTTTTTTTAGACTACAACAAAATCACAATTAAATCCAGCCTTTGAAGATGCCTGGAGCAGCAGTGATGAAGAAGGATGAATATCAACCTTTAGTACCTTTGTGTCTCTGCTGAAACTTTTTAAATGAGACCATATGTGTTTTTTTCCAACTGTACGGTCTATTCCTGACAGCTGAATTAGCCCTAAATGTGGGTAATTTGTTTCCTCATGTTTTAAAATGAGGTTAATATTTGCATAAAATCCTAAAACAAACTTCTGTATCATTTATTTAATCAAAATGTGTTCCTTGAAAGCAGTTGCTGTGGCCTGGGGAAGCCCCCATTGCTACAGTACAAGTACACAGTCATTGTACCTCAGCTGTGACTTTCAGCAGATTTTATGAACTATAAGATGCAGTTTCAGAGGATCACCAAGTGGAGGCCATCAGCATTGACCATCTCCTACTTGCTGTACTATCGGCCTGCTCATTTCCACCTTCAAGAATGATTTTGCCAAGAATTAGTATATCAAAAATAGTAGTTGAAATGGTAACATCAAAATTATTTTATTCTTCATCTATTCACATTTTGCAGTGATTTCATTTAATTAACCATTCTTTAGCTTTATGTTAAACATTTTTGGGCTCAATATCTCCTACAATCCAAAAAGTTTATCACTGGAGGATTTTTAACTTTGTGAAAATCCCTTGTTTGCTTTATTTTAATGTCAGAAGGCAGTTGGCACTCATGCTTGAACTCTCTTCCTATGAAACTCATTAAGACATGACCAAATCCTGCCTCATTCATTCAAGCAGAAAATATCCTTGAAGGGAATCTGGCTTAAACATGAAATGTTGTAAGAAAATTCCTGTTACTGTCTCCTTCTGCGTCAACCCACAAATGATTATCATGAAGGTAATCTTAATATTCCCTTCCTGACCCTTACCGGCAGTAGACTAGTAAACGAGGCTTTTAAGAACTTGAATACCAAAAGTATACAGTTGTTGAGGTTTTTGTTTTTGTTTTGCTGAGACAAAGTTTCACACTGCTGGAGTGCAGTGTCAGAATCTCAGCTCACCGTAGTCTTCACCTCCCAGGTTCAAGCAATTCTCCTGCCTCAGCCTCCCGAGTAGCTGGGATTACAGGCTCCCACCACCACGCCCAGCTACTATTTTGTATTTTTAGTAGAGATAGGGTTTCACTATGTTGACCAGGCTGGTCATGAACTCCTGACCTCAAATGATCCGCCTGCCTTGGCCTCCCAAAATGCTGGGATTACAGGTGTGAGCTCCACCCTCCCTGGCCAGTTGTTGAGCTTTTAACTGTATAGGGGTTAGACCTCATATCAGACTTTTCTAGCCAAATGTTTTCCATACACTTGCTTTTACAATTGATTTTTTTTTCCAATTGACACATAAAATTTTATGTATTTGCCATGTACAACATACTGTTTTGAAGCATACATACATTATAGAATGATTAAATCTAGCTAATTGACATATGCATTACCTCTCATAGTTACCATTTTTGTGGTAAGAACACTTTACATCCATTCTCTTATCATTTTTCAAGATTAATTGTAATCTTGTAACTATAGTTACTATGTTGTGCAATAAGTCTCTTGCACTAATTCCCCCTATTTAACTGAAATTTTGTATCCTTTGACCAGTGTCTCTGCAACCACCCTAGCTCCTGTTAACCACCATTCTACCCTCTACTTCTTTTTTTGAGACGGAATTTTGCTCTTATTACCCAGGCTGGAGTGCAATGGTGCAATCTCGGCTCACCACAACCTCCGCCACCTGGGTGTAAGCGATTCTCCTGCCTCAGCCTCCCCAATAGCTGGGATTACAGGCATGTGCCACCACACCCAGCTAATTTTGTATTTTTAGTAGAGACGGGGTTTCTCCATGTTGATCAGGCTGATCTCAAACTCCCAACCTCAGGTGATCTGCCCACCTCAGCCTCCAAAAGTGCAGGGATTATAGGCGTGAGCCACCGCGCCCAGCTACCTTCTACTTCTATGAGGTCAACCATTTATATATATGTACCACATTTTATTTATCCATTCAACCATTGATAAGTGCTTAGGTTGATGCCATATCCTGGCTTTTGTGAATAATGCTGCAATGAACCTGGGAGTGCAGATATCTCTTTGACACACTGATTTCATATCCTTTGGATATAAGCCCAGTAGCAGGATTGCTGGAGCATATGTAGTTCTAATTTTAACTTTTTGCAGAACCTCCAAACTGTCTTCCATAATAGCTGTACTAACTTACATTCCTACCAAGAATATGCAAAAGTTCCCTTTTTTTCACATCCTTGCCAACTTGTTATCTTTTGTCTTGTTGGTAATAGCCATTCTAACAGGTGTGAGGTGATATCTCATTGTGGTTTTAATTTGCATTTCCCTAGTAACTACTGATGTTGAGAATTTTTTCATATATCTGCTGGCCATTTGCATGTCTTCTTTTGAAAACTGTCTTTTCAGGCTCTTTGTCCATTTTTAATTGGGTTGTTTTCTTGCTTTTGAGTAGAGTTCCTTAGATAGTAACCCCTTATCAGATCTACAGTTTATAAATATTTTTTTCTCCATTGTTTCTTCACCCTATTGTTTCTTTTGCTGTGCAGAAGCTTTTTAGTTTCATGTAATTTCATTACTATACTTGTGCCTTTGTCACTGTGCTTTTGAGGTCATATCCAAAAAAATCATTGCCCAGACCAATGTCATGGAGCATTTTCTCTATGTTTTCAGCTGGTCCCCTATTCAGAGCTACATGTTATTAGTGAAGACTGTGAACTGTATTATATTCTCCTTAGCTGGTATATTTCAGTGTACAATTTAGTTATTGAAAATCATCTTTTTTTCCTCTGAAATGATAATTTAGCTGGGTATATCATTTTTGGGTTGTAGTCCTTTTCTTTTATTGGTCTACAGATTTGTGCCCACTTTTTTCTAGCTTCTGGTATTGCAGATGAGAATTCCAGAGCCACCTTGATTTTTTTTCCTTTGTAGGGAATTCATTCTTTACAGCTGGAAGCTTGTAAACTGAGGTTTAAAAAAAATTACATTTTCTTAATTTTGTCAAGATATCTGATGTCTTTTATACATTTATATTTTTTATTGCACTTTAGGTCTAGGGTACATGTGCAGATCATGCAGCATTGTTGCATAGGTAGATACATGGCAACGTGGTTTGCTGCCTCCATCCCCCATCACCTATATCTGGCATTTCTCCCCATGTTATCCCTCCCAAACCTCCCCACCCCTGACTATCCCTCCCCTATTCACCACCAACAGACCCCAGTGTGTTGTGTTTCCCTCCCTGTATCCATGGTGTCCTCATTGTTCAATACCCACCTGTGAGTGAGAACATGCAGTGTTTGATTTTCTGTTTTGTGTCAGTTTGCTGAGAATGATGGTTTCCAGATTCATCCATGTCCCTACAAAGGACATAAACTCATCATTTTTTTATGGCTGCATAGTATTCCATGGTGTATATGTGCCATATTTTCCTTGTCCAGTCTATCATCGATGGGCATTTGGGTTGGTTCCAGGTCTTTGCTATTGTAAACAGTGCCGCAGTGAACATACGTGTGCATGTGTCTTTATAATAGAATGATTTATAATCCTTTGGATATATAACCAGTAATGGGATTGCTGGGTCAAATGGAATTTCTATTTCTAGGTCCTTGAGGAATCGCCAAACTGTCTTCCACAATGGTTGAACTAATTTACACTCCCACCAACAGTGTAAAAGTGTTCCTATTTCTCCACATCCTCACCAGCATCTGTTGTCTCCAGATTTTTTAATGATCCGCATTCTAACTGGAGTGAGCTGGTATCTCAGTGTAGTTTTGATTTGCATTTCTCTAATGACCAGTGATGATGAGCATTTTTTCATATGTTTTTTGGCCTCATAAATGTCTTTTTTTGAAAAGTGTCTGTTCATATCCTTTACCCACTTTTGAATGGGTTTGTTTGTTTTTTTCTTGTAAATCTGCTTTAGTTCTTTATAGTTTCTGGATATTAGCCCTTTGTCAGATGGATAGATTGCAAAAATTTTTTTCCCATTCTCTTGGTTGCCGATTCACTCTAATGATGGTTTCTTTTGCAGTACAGAAGCTCTGGAGTTTAATCAGGGCCCATTTACCTATTTTGGCTTTTGTTACCAATGCTTTTGGTTTTTAGTCATGAAGTCCTTGCCTATACCTATGTCCTGAATCGTTTTGCCTAGGTTTTCTCCTAGGGTTTTTATGGTGTTAGGTCTTATGTTTAAGTCTTTAATCTATCTGGAGTTAATTTTAGTGTAAGGTGACAGGAAGGGGTCCAGTTTCTGCTTTCTGCACATGGCTAGCCAGTTTTCCCAACACTATTTATCAAACAGGGATTCCTTTCCCCATTGCTTGTTTTTGTCAGGGTGTCAAAGATCAGATGGTTGTAGATGTGTGGCGTTGCCTCCAAGGCCTCTATTCTGTTCCATTGGTCTATATCTCTGTTTTGGTACCAGTACCATGCTGTTTTGATTACTGCAGGCTTGTAGTATTGTTTGAAGTCAGGTAGTGTGATGCCTCCTGCTTTGTTCTTCTTGCTTAGAATTGTCTTGGCTATGTGGGCTCTCTTTTGGCTCCATATGAAGTTTAAGGTGGTTTTTTTCCAGTTCTGTGAAGAGGGTCATAAGTAGCTTGATGGGGACAGCGTTGAATCTATAAATTACTTTGGGCAGTATGGCCATTTTCACAATATTGATTCTTCCTAAGCATGAGCATGGAATGTTTTTCCATCTATTTTTGTCGTCTCTTATTTCCTTGAGCAGTGGTTTGTAGTTATCCTTGAAGAGGTCCTTTACATCCTTTGTTAGTTGTATTCCTAGGTATTTTATTCTCTTTGTAGCAATTGTGGATGGCAGTTCGTTCTTGATTTGGCTCTCTTTAAGTCTGTTATTGGTGTATAGGAATGCTTGTGATTTCTGCACATCGATTTTGTATCCTGAGATCTTGCTGAAGTTGCTTATCAGTTTAAGGAGATTTTGGGCTGAGATAATGGGGTCTTCTAAATATACAATCATGTCATCTGCAAATAGAGACAATTTGACTTCCTTCTTTCCTGATTGAATACCCTTTATTTCTTTTTCTTGCCTGATTGCTCTGGCTAGAACTTCCAATACCATATTGAATAGGAGTGGTGAGAGAGGGCATCCTTGTCTAGTGCCAGATTTCAAAGGGAATGCTTCCAGTTTTTGCCCATTCAGTATGATATTGGCTGTGGGTTTGTCATAAGTAGCTTTTATTATTTTGAGATACGTTCTGTCGACACCTGGTTTATTGAGAGTTTTTAGCATAAAGAGCTGTTGAATTTTGTCGAAGGCCTTCTCTGCATCTATTAAGATAATCATGTGGACTTTGTCTTTGGTTCTGTTTATGTGGTGGATTATGTTTATGAAGACTAAAGGATATCTGATGTCTTTTTTTGTTCTCTCTCATCACTTATTCTTCTTGGGAGCTCTTTCAATGAAGGTCTAAACCTTTTCTCAGCTCAGGTATATTTTCTTCTAATATTTGTCTAATTGTTATTTCTCCTCCTTTTTTCCTCTTTTTTGGATTATCTAATAATGGCATGTGATTGACCTCCCTATCTTTCTTCCTTTTTTTTTTTAGACAGTCTTGCTCTGTCACGCAGGCTAAAGTTCAGCAATGTAATCTCAGCTCACTGCAGCCTCCGCCTCCCAAGTTCAAGCAATTTTCCTGCCTCACCCTCCTAAGTAGCTGGGATTACAGGTGCCCGCCACCATGCCGCCTGGCTAATTTTTGTATTTTTTTTAGTAGGGGTGGGGTATCACCATGTTGACCAAGCTGATCTTGAACTCCTGGGCTCC